TTAATTTATCTTCAGAGGAAAGAAATAGGTAGCTAATGAGGAGTCGGCTTGGAGATATCTTAGGATTATCTACTTCTGCTCTTACTTGACGGTGTTTTTTGTGAAGCAGTGAGTCAGATATCTGCAGCTGTAAGTTGTTGGGTACCCATGAACAGCTTTGGTAACCTCAGATGTTAAAACCTATTTTTTTTCCTAAAGAAGAGAACATTAACCAGGCCTTGAAATTTGTCTCCTGTCCTTTAGAAAATGCCAGAGTATCTGACGGTGCTTTTAATAAGCAGACGAGGCTTTGTTTTTAGCATTGGTGTGGGAGGATGCAACTCTAGCCTAAATTCCCTCTGTCTGGGTTTGATATTAAACATTATTTGACTGAGCAAGGGTAGAAGGTTGTGTTCAGGAGCAATCTCCAGTAAATACATCAAAGAATGTGGTTAATGGTTTTCTAGAGCTGCATATTTGAAATATTATCCAATTTCTAGGATAGCACAGCTTCCTTTATTGGGGACTGTCCTGTGCTCTGGCAGGAGGGCTGGTAGGTATCTCCTCTTGATTTCTGCAAAGTAACCTAATTTTGGAAGTAGAGGGGGAAATATCCTCCCAGTGTAAGGGATTTGTGGGAAGCCCGTGTCTCTGCCTTCCTTCAAACATTCAGTTGTGGTTACTCACTAAACTTGAAATAAAAAATAGCCAGCAGTTATCTTGTTATTCCTTTCCCCCGTATCAGCAGAGCTTGGAGCTGCTGTTATTTAGTCTATTTAGAGAGTCTTTGCTGGCGACGATGGGAAGGATAATTCCTTATACGTGTCCGACGCGTTACAGTTATTCCAACAAAGCTCTTTAGACAACAGCTCAGGCTGACTTGGGCCTCGCTCTGTGCTTTGCAATATGCTGGAGAACTGGCTTTGCTTGGGAATCTGCCTAGACCCCATGTGAAACTGTGATCCATAGGAGCTGACCTCTGTAGGGGTGTTCCTTCCGGAAGGGCATGTTTCCAGGGTGTCCTGGGGGGAGCATCTACCTCCAACTCAGCAGTAACACTGCAAAATTACCAGCTATATTGGTGGGATTCTTATTTAGGATGACAGACCATAGGAGTGTCGGATCTAAGCAGTAGGTTTGTGTCTTAGTGTCTGTGTCTAATTGCTTTCCAAGAGGTATTTTATTGATCCTTTTATGCATTCCTGTTTTTCTCAGGGTTAAAGGGTAGGAAGGATGGCTGTGATGGGGCTGGAGTTCAGTTTCCATTACGTTCTCATCTACAAATGTGGCTTAAATGTCAAAGAACAGTGTTGTCTTCATGCTGTTTGTTTGGGTCATTTTTAGTATCTAGACATAATAGCACTAAAAATAGTTGAGATTCTTTACTAATCTTTGGGGAGGGTGTTTTGATCGGGGGTATAAATGAGGCTTAGTTCTTGATTATATAAATAAGTTTGTTTGGGAAATGAAAGCTAGGAGGGCCTCCTAAGAAGATTCATAACTGGTTTTTATATGGTGCGACCTGCTCAGCTACTGGGTATGTGCAGCGCGATGTCCTCGAATGCCAAATCTAACTGCCTCTCCTGTGAGCTCGTGCCTTTGGGTTGTTGTAGTTCTTCTGGCACTTGCCCTGTAAGTCAGGTTCTAATTTTATCTTGTTACCCACACAGCTCGGTGACAGTGTGACATAGCAGTGGAAAGGGAGTGACATCAGCAGACGAACAGATTGGTGGAAGGCAGTGGCAGGTTTTTGTTTTTTTTTTAATTAAGAATAAGCCATGTCAAGGTTTTCCTGCTTCTCAAGCTCATAAATTCGTGCAGCGTGATCCCCATCATGAACTGCTAGCTGCGTGAGGCTGCTAATGTCTTGGGTCGTTTCTGCAGGGCGATTAAGGGCTGCCCATTTAAATTGGCAATGCTCTTCATGCTTGAACACCTTCATACCTACAATTCCAAACACAGTAGTATTAAACACTGAGAGTTTGCAGTGCTGTGGCTTTTGCTGAGAAAAGACGGGGTCAGTCCCTGCATTTAAAAGGAAACACAACAACTTCTAACACAAGAGGTGTGTGTGAGGTGGGGAGCTACTTTTTTACACTAGCTATCCACTTTGAACACAAAGGAAGACTTTTTCTACCCAAGAGTTCAGTGGATATCTGCAGGCAGCTGGAATCCCCTCAGCAGCGCTGGGAATTATGAGGATTGTGTAAGACAAACAGTTGTTTGGATTGGGTGAGAGTGATACGTGTATATGTGGTGGGGATGATTGTTTTATATGATTCTGCCAGGATTTCTACGTGTGGAGGAAGCCTCTTGTTTTGGAGAGTACATAGTGGTTCTAACAGCTGCTGATGTTGTAACTTAGAGGATATTTTAGCTGCCCATTACTTTGCTCCTTGGTGAGGAGCACCCCAGACACAGAGCAACTGTTGAGCCTGCGTGCAGTGGCTTATGAACCAGGACTGTGTACGTTCGCTTAGTGACTACTGGCAATTCTGGAGGGATGAGAGGCAAAAATACCAAATTTTTTGCAACAAGTGGTGTGTACAGGAGTAGGAAGGAGTGAAACTGAGACTGTAAAGGGCTCATTTGGTGAGGGGTGTCTTGATGGCAGGGTTTGAAGGATTCCTTGGAATAAGTTTGCATGTGTTGACCAAATCGAAGAACTAGGTTTTTTTCTGGTACGGGAAGCTGCAGGTTCTGGCGTTAGAGGATGAAGTCGGAGGAAGTCCGGCGCATGTGAGGGCATGAAGAGCTGTCCAGCCATCCTCAGAGTCAGTGTGACAGTCGCATTAATCAGAGTGTTTTTCAGATGCTGAGGTTGAACTGATGCTTTTCAATTACAGGATCTTGTAGTCTGATGTATGGACCATGACTTTAGCCCCAGGACTCGCCTGTAAAGCCACTAGGAATGTAGAAACGTGGCTTTTGTCAAAGCCATCTCTCCTCTGCCAGGAAGGAGAGAGGTGAGAGCAGAGTGGAGCCTTCCTCGTGGCTACTGTGTGGCTTGTCATACTTTTGTGCCCCACAGTCCTCGCCGTGGGCTGTCAAGCCTGTCTGCCCTAGCTGGGTGGTTCAGTGCTGTGGTTCTGACTCACAGCTGGCTTCGTAGTCACTGCACGGCGCCGAAATGAGTTGAGATGCTCTTGAGCATGCTTTCCGCGCCCTCTGCCCCGTCTTCCTGTCGTCCCTCTCCCCCACGCGCTGAAGTATTTAATAAGGGATATTTAAGGAAGCTTGCTTCCAGGAGGCCCTGGGGAGGAGTGGTTAACTATTTGAGTTCGAAAAAGTGTTCTAAGGACTCTTCTATAGCCGGATATCACCTCTTCTGGCATAGTGTGGGCAGATGAGCTAACCCCTTCCCCTTAATCTAACTTTCATTGTTTGCTGCCAGCCGCTCTACAACATCTCCATCCTTGCCAGGATATCCGTTTCCCTGCTGCCTGTTCCCAGCTGGCTGTTCCTCTGTTTTTGTGGGCCGTAGGCAGCTGATGCACATTTTTCTCTGTCCTCCTGAGCAGCATTGGGATGGGATTTTCCTCCCAGTCCTCTGGAAGAGGAAGGAAACTGCAGGTGTGTTTGCCCTCGATGGGAGACTCTAGCTGTGACCTGGCCTCCAGCTAAATGCCATGTGAAGCCCTTGGCTGGTTTTGTTCTTACAAATCACTTATTGCCTCCCAGTACAGAGTTTGGTACAAAATTCAACCTCCCACCCACCTTTTGTCTTCCCCAAATGGTTTATAACTATTCCCTTCTAGATGGAGGCTACCGTGGGCTGTTGGCCTGTGTAGCTGCGTGACCAAGAGCAAACACCGTGGTTTGGCATCTTGTAGAGACTTGCGTTCATTCCCTGCTTACTGGGGCATCGGGGAATTGCCGTGCAAACCAGTTTCTTTACCGGCTTGCGCCTGCTGCGGTTTTTGATGGCAGGGTAGGCTTCACTGGCAGCAAGCTTTCAGTGTAGTTAGGCAAATTGGCCTGAAAAGTAGAGCAGCTGTGTTCTGCCAGAAGCTTGGAATTTCCTTCAGTATTGCCAGTTATCGGCTGGCAAAACTAGGACACTCTCAGGTAGTTTTTTTTCCCCTTCATTGATGATTAAATAAAATACATTGCTGTTTCAGAGGCTCTTTTAATAGTGTCGGCAGTTGTGAGAATCTAAAGATATCAGCGAGGCTGGGGAAGGTTGCCTAAAGAGAGATTGGGACTGAAAGCTGGCTTTATTTTTCTATTCAGCAAGGTTTCTCTGCATAATTGCTCAGACTGCAAAATGTAAACACCTTTGCGGAGGTAGGTGCGAGTCTTGGACAGAAGTTGACATGTTTAAAGCCACGCTCTGTTGGCATTCAGGGGTGATTAATACGTCTTTCCGCCGATTGATGACTCGGCAGCTATGTTGCAAAGGGAAGGAGAAGCGCAATAAGATTCTGCTTTGCTCCGACGAGTCCTTGGGTGCATGTCGGGCAGGGCAGGGGACTTTTATGTGAAGGAAGGTTATTGCAGCAAGCAGCAGGAATGTGGACCTGCCGGCTAGTCCTCCGAATGGCTGCAGGCTCTGGGGCTGAGCTGCCCTGCTGAAATCAAGCATGTAGACTGATGCGGATCGCCCCATCCGGCTGCTGCTGCTGCTTCTCTGCCTGAGAGGTTTGGCGTCGGTTCCTGCTCGGATCTGGGCATACCTTGCTGTGTATTTCTGTGGCTCTTTACCCTTAATAGAACTTTCTTGCCCGCTGAAGTCCTTAAAATGAAAGATGAGCGCCTCACAGCTGCCCTCTCACTGGGATACACAAGATCCACAGCCTGCTGTAGGTGTATTGAAGGCTACAGTAGAATATATGCAGTGGCTTTGCTCTTCTCTGCCTCTTGATTTGCAAGTCATCCTCAGATGGAGATGCACGCTCTCTCTGTCCCCTTTATAGTGTTGCTGTACGGAAGAGTGTGATTAAATGTGTGTGCAGACAGGCTTGAACTCCAATCTCCAAGGCGAGCCTTCAGGTTTTTATTTTTATCTCCTTCCTTTCTAGGAAATAGACAGACGGTTGGAAAAGAAGCTGAAGATCACGCAGAAGGAAAGGTAACAATGCTGCGCGGTTCAGTAAAAAACCTTTTTTGTGAGGTGCTGTTGGACATCTGAAGGCCTGGGGAGTGGCAACAGTGGGGAAACAGCTTCAAACTGAGCAGAGTGCGCTGGGTTTGAGTTCAGAAATAGGGAATCTCTGTAATCATGCCACTAGATGGCCCCTTCAATCCATAGCAGGGTAGTGGAAAGCTTCTTGAGAGTGATTTTATTTCAGAGCCGGGTCTTCCAGACTGGATGTAGCTACAGCTATGGGGAAGCCATTTAAGAAAAAGACACTCAAAGGAAGAAATGGGTGAGTCAGGTAATCCTAACTCATGGCCCTAGATTGGCTTGCTGTGTCTGGCGTCAGTAAGATTTTCTTTTCCTGCTTACTTTGGGTTGGGGCAGGGGCGTGTGTGTTATTCTCTTCTAGCAGAAATATTTCTAATCACTTCTGACAAGTCTTTTGTTGTTGTTTTTTTTTCCCCTTTGATTCTTAGTAGGCCACTTAGAGTCATGGTATTACTTCTCTGGGACTTCCTCACAGAGAAGGGACCATAAAAAAAATTCAAATGGTGAGCTGTGGGCCAAGGCTGGCTCTGAGAAGTGAAATGGCAGGGTTGGAGCAGAAGGCCAGGTATCCTGGCAAGAGGAGCCCTAAAAGTCCTTGCAGGGAATGGAATCAAGGTGCTTATACCGATATCTTCAAATAGAAATGCTAAAACTTTTGCCCAGTGTCTGCTTCGCATTCCTTTGGTCAAGTTTAAAGGTGTCAAACGCAGCAGGGACTGGTTTTCTGTCCCTGACTGAGCTAACCGCCTGCAAACCTGCCTGCCGTTCTAGTTTAGAGTTACAAATGTAACAAGGTCTTTAATTATTACAGGCTGCCTTCTTAATCACGGGAATGACGTCTGGCAGGGAGGAGTTCACATGCAGAGCAAAAAACATGCTCACCGTAGAAAACAAAATACCAACCAAATGTTTTTCTTTCAAACAGTAGAAAATCAAAATCTCCTCCTAAAGTGCCGATCGTGATTCAGGACGACAGCCTTCCTGCAGGTCCTCCCCCGCAGATCCGCATCTTGAAGAGGCCGACAACCAACGGTGTGCTTAGCAATCCCAACTCCGCCAGCAGGCCGGCCTTCCCCGTGAAATCGTTGGCGCAGAGGGAGGCAGAATACGCGGAAGCCAGGAAACGAATATTGGGCAGCGCAAGCCCCGAAGAAGAGCAGGAGAAACCCATTCTAGATAGGTGAGAGCAGCCTTTCATGCCGCGGCAGCTTTGCCTGCTCTCCTCGCAAACACCTTCCTGTCAGAAGGAGGGGGATGAGCTCCTTGAAGAGTAAAGTGAGGCTGGCAAGGAGAAAGGAGTGCTTTGTTAACAAGCAGGCCATCATAAATCTCAAATATATGGGTGTTACGGGAAGCACTTATGGGAAGTGCCTGATAAGGCCATAAAGGTTATCTTAGACCCTTGGAAGAGTGTGCTGGGGGTTTAGAGGGGAATGCGGGCAACCAGAGTTATCCTGGCGGGGCATATCCTCGTCTTCCCTGAAGTTTTTGACTTAAGGGAGCTGCCACATGCGGGCGGGAGAGTTGAACTTAAGCACTCTCAAATGAATGCAGGTTTTTTGAAGGCACCGTGCTCGCCCTTTTATTTGCAGCGTGGGTCTCAGAGACTCTTTGGAAAGAAATGAAGTGCTAGTTCGATTTCAGTTGCGTTCCCCATTCCAGGGAGCAACATGTGATGATTGTCCCGTGGCAGTGACTTCCCACCGAGGCAGGTGCAGGAGTATTTCTTGAAGGCGTACAGTGTTAATGCAGCTGTGTTGCCTCCACCTCTGATCGCCTTTCTCCTTGCAGGCCGCCGAGGATCTCCCAGCCAGAAGACACCAGACAGCCCAATAATGTGATTAGGCAACCCCTGGGTCCCGATGGCTCACAAGGCTTCAAACAACGCAGATAAATGCGGGCGAGAGATGCTGCTGCGAAAGGCAGGGTCCGCCGCCACGGGTCGCACTGCCGTGACGGACAAACGGACTTGAGCAAAGGGAACTACCTGGTTTATTTGCACTGTGATCCCCTTTGCTCTGCCCACTGTGACCTTCAACCCCATGCACTGTGACCTCCCCTCTCCACCCACTGTGACCGGCAAACCGAGAAGGGCTGTCCCCAAGTCACTCTAAAAGGAAAGGGGACAACGAGGCGGGGCGGGGGGGTTATAAAGGACTCGGATGGGTGCAGGGAGTCGTGTGTGTGCCACTTGGGTTGAAGCTAGCGCCAGCAATAATGTTTGTTGTACTCGTAACCTGGCATTTAAGGAAAAAAAAAAAATGGGAAGCCTCCCCAGACGCGCATGTTGTCCTCATCACTTTAAGAGCAAGTTCTGTTTCAAAGGATCTCTTTTATTTTATTTTTTCTTGTTTGTTTTCTGTATATCAGATCAACAGAGTGCATGGGAAGGGTTTTAACTGTTTGTTTTAATTGAAAGAGGTAGTTAAGTGTTCAAAAAGGAGTTTCAATGAATTTCTGCAACTTTCATGGCTCGGGTTTGGCAAGCTCTCGCTTCTTGTTCTCTGTTTCTACTGCTGCCAAGCACGTGGAAGCGGACTCCCAGATACCTGGCCTTTCCGATCGCCGTGGGAGCTGTTGGAGTCCGACGACCTAGTTTACGTCTTGCACCTGTTCAAGCTTGCCTAGTATTTTCTGCTGGCTTTGAGGAAAAGCTTAAAATACATCTTTTTTTTTTTTTCTTTCTGTACTTGGGGAGAAGGGAATGTAGACCGATCCCGTGAAAATGCCCGCTGCCCGGCCGCAGTTTGTGGCAGAAAGACGCAGGCAGTGAAGAATTAGGGCTCTGTTGTGAGGAGCAGAATAGCCGGCGCCGCTCCAGTCTGTGAAATAAACAGGCAGCAAGGAGCCCCGCTCCGTACGGCCCACACTTGTCGAGCGGCTGGTGTAACGACGGGGAGCGCAGGATGTCTCGCGGGTCCGAACCCGAGTGGCTTAACGATGGAGTGAAGGCTGTGATCACTCTCTTGGTCATGGTACGAGCTGCGTTTACATCCCAAAATCGCAGACGTTGGGAACAAAACCAGTGTTGGATAAAGTCTGGATGATTCCCCCGTCTTCCTGGTGGCAGCCAGCTCCCCGTGAGGCTTCAGGGAAAGGATTTTCCTCCTCTGGCTCCTGGGAAGAGGACAGGGAGGCTGGTGGCCTGCAAGAACGTGGATGTTCCCCCTCCAGACGAAGCTGACTTACCTTAATATCGCTTAATACTGAGGGATTAGATGAACACTAAATGCTCTTCTTGGAGGGGACGGTACCTAGAAAACCATTTCTGGTTCTCAGCGGATTATTCTGTACGGCTGCGCCCTTCCTGCCTCTTCGTGCTCAGTAGGTTCAAGGGTAAACGAGCGAATCTTGACGTCTTCTACCTGGTGGGAAGCAACCATACAAAAAAAAACATGTATGGAAATACAGCTTAAAAAAAGAAACAAAAAACAAATGGTAAAATAAAACTACCTGTGTATAAAAAGAATCCGCTAGAGCGTTAATTAGCTGATTAAAGCACCAAGGACGGTGGTGAGGTGGGGATGGGCAAATGTCCCCTGGGCGTCCCCAACCACTGGCACTTCTTTTTTGGGGGGGCGTCTGTCTTATTTACCCCCCCAGCCCAGGCTGGTGGTCAGGATGAGTCCCTGGGGGGGCGCGGGAGAGGAGAAGGACATCAGCAATAACCGTAGTCACCGCGCCTTTCCTTAATTATTACTAAAAATAGCTTTTAATGGCCAAAAAAAACCCCCAAATACATCCTGGTTCCTGGTGTAGCTGGCCAGCGTTAAAAGTTGCCATCTCCGGCACCAAAATCTCCAACTCCGGCGCCGAAATCTCTGTCTCTGGCACCGAAATCTCCTGGCTCCTCCATCCCGGTGACCAGGATACGTCCCGCCCGCGGGCAGGGCTCGGCGGCGTTCCTGCGGGAAGCCCCTTCGTCCCGGGAAGGTGGAGGATAAACACGGTACCGCGTGTTTTCACCCCAAAATGTGCGCCGAAAAGAAAACATTTTATAAATTGTATTTTAAATAAATGTCTTTAAACTTTTAACGACTTACTTTTTTTCTCCTTTATCCCCGTCTCTCGCAGGGGCTGCTGCAAGAGGGACGTTTCGGTGGCAGCTTAAGCTCCCAGCGCGAGTAGATCCTTAAAAATTCATCAGGAAGGTAAAATCTGGGAGTGTTCGGCCGTAATTGTGCCGGTATTTACCCCAAAAGGGGAAATTTTGTCCCATTTTTAGGCTTGCTGGGAAGATGTGGTCCGAGGAGGGTGGGAGGTGGCAGTGCTTGGAGGGAAGATGTGGTTTCCAAACCTGGGCCTGAGCTGTGACTATGCTGCCTCTCGCCATGGAGGATAGAAGCAGCAATTTTTATTTTATTTATTTTAATTAGTTTTTTGCAATGTGCTGGCCTCCCTGCTTGGGTGTTGTGCTCGATAACTGTCAAAGGAGGTGGGCAGAGGCTGTTGGGGTGCCTCTGGCTGAGGCGAGGAGGGGTCTGAGTGCGCTGACCTGCAAGCTTTGACTCCCCTTTAATTCTTATTTTTTAATATTTTTTTTAAGGCGAAATCAGGAAAAAAATGTCCCGTTTAGTGACTTGGAGTTGCTAGGTGGGGAGGAAAGGTGCTGCAGAAATAGGTGCGGTTGGCGGCGTGCCCGGACGGGGCCGGGCTGGGAGCTGGCAGCCGCTCCCCGCGACCGCGTACTGGTTCCCAGTTCCAGCAGCCCACTGGGACCAGCTCCCCCCCTCACCTCCCCCGCCACCTCCCTGCAGTGGAGCCTCCCGGTCGCCAGGGGGAGCAGCGGCGGCTGGTGCGGAAGCACCTCCCCTCCCTCCGCTCCTCCGTCCCGCCCGGAGAAAGGGGGCGGTACCATCGAGGCGGCGGGCCAGAGCGGCGGGCCAGAGCGGCGGCGGCGGCGGGCGGAGTTCCGCCGCGATGGCGGCCATGGCAGCAGAGGAGGAGGAGTACGAGGCGGTGCTGTGCGTGAAGCCGGCGGTGCACGTCTACCGGGTACCGCCGCGGGCCTCCAACCGCGGCTACAGGTGGGGCTTGCCCCTCTCTCGTGGGCCCTGTCCCGCTGTGGGGTGTTTCTGTCCCGTCCCCCCCTGCTTTGGGTTACATGGCGTCTGTCCCCTTCCTCCCTATAGAGTGTCTGCTCCTCCTGTCACAGGGCTGTGGGGGGTTTGCCCCCCTCCCCGTGGGGTATGTGGGGCCTGCCCCTAGTGAGGTATCTCTGCCCCCCACCCCAGCCCCACGGCCCCAGCGGGGCTTCTCCATCCCCTCGTGTGTTTTGAGGCTCCTCTCCTGTCAGCCCACAGCCTGGACTGAAGGCCGTCGTGGCAGAGCCAGGCTGTAGCTAACGCGGCTCAGCACCTCCGACAAACTGCTTTCGAGCTGGAGATCCTGCGGAAAAGGGAAGCGAAACCTCTTGTGCAATTCGTGCCTGGTCCCCGCTGGGACCTGACGCCTGATTTTGCAGGGGGCCAGCTGGTTTGGGGTGAAATGAGGGACATCACAACGAATCTGTCTCCTTCTGCAGCGAGTACGGGTGGAGGCGGGTTCTTGCTTGTGCCGCTTTGGTACTGTTAAGGAGGAGAGTCAAGCAGATGAGCTCTGTGATGTGTTATGGGGGCATTAAAATAGGTTGGTGGTTGTCTGGGATGTGAGAGGCAGTTCAGACATCCATTGCTGTTTCATCTTTCTCTAGAGCTGCAGAGTGGCAGCTGGACCAGCCGGCGTGGAGCGGCAGGCTGCGGATCACGGCCAAGGGCAAGATCGCGTTCATTAAGCTGGAGGACAAGACCTCAGGTAAGGAGGAGGGAAAGGCGACAGCTCCACACCTCTTCGTGGGGAGGAAGACGGCGCAGAGACTTTACTCCCTGGCGTTAACCTGGTCCCATTTCTCTTTTTCAGGAGAGCTTTTTGCCCAGGCGCCAGTGGAGCAGTTCCCTGGCATCGCTGTGGAGAGTGTGACGGACTCCAGTAGATATTTTGTCATCCGGATTGAAGATGGGAACGGTACGTCGCGCTACATGGGGGACGGCATGGAGGAACTGCCTCAGAAAGTCTTTAGTGCCCTTGCTGCTCTTATTTGTGAAGGATTCCTGCCTTCAAGGACTAAATATTCCCTGTGTACGCTGGTAAAGGGACGAATTGTCTCGCTCCCACGTGCCAGCTGCGCTCTGTCCTTCACCAGGAATAAAAAGTTTAATTTTGCTGCTTGGCATTAGTGTGAGGATGCCTCTCTGTGCAGGATTGTTACTGTGATGCCAACCTCTGCTTTGACTTGCTTATATTAATTTAAAAGCTGTTTTTACTAAGGCTGTATGTGCACCCAACAAGCTAAACATATCTCCAGTCCCATATCTCAGTCTCTGGACACCCAGCTCCAGCTGGAGGAGGCGGCAGGCATGGGGGTGTGCGGGGTGGGGTATCCCCTCCCTCTTCCTCTGCTGCTTTGCAGTTCCAGCCCTCACTCTTCCTCCTTCCTCAGGCCGCCGTGCTTTCATCGGAGTCGGCTTTGTTGACCGAGGGGATGCTTTTGACTTCAATGTGGCTCTCCAAGACCATTTTAAGTGAGTTCGTGCCTCATCCCGTGTCCTCTCAGCTCAACTTTTTTTGCAGTTGTCCGCCAGAAATGGTGGGGAAGAGGAAGCTGTGAGGTCCTGTTGTGCTTGAGTGGGCAAGCGTGGTGTAAAGAGGTGGAAACGCCTGTTTCTCTGCACAGCCTTTGTGCAGGCAGCTCGCTCTCTCTCTCAAATATTTCCCAGTCTGTATTAGCAGGGTCCCAAACTGGGCTTCCTGGTCCAAAATTGGGCATATTCCCTAATTCCTTTCCTTCTCTTCACATGCCACTGCTAAGGGGCTGCTCCTCAGGGACTGGGATGCTGCTCCAGCTGCAAGCAGATAGTGGGGCTTTGGGGCAGGATGGAATGTGCTGCTGGCTGGAGGATCCATGTGGCTCGACTACTGACGGTCACTGGTAGGAATCATTCCCCGGCACTGCCTGTAGCACATTGCTCCAGCAGGCGAGGTCTCAGATCACATCCAGTGCCTCTGCCAGGGAGAGGGGATGATCTCAGGCAGGATTTGTCCAGGAGAGTCTCAGGCTGGTTGTTGACATGTTCTTTTCTGCTTATTCAATTCTTGCAGATGGGTGAGGCAGCAGAGCGAGCTGGCCAGACAGGCCGAGAACCCCGATCAGGGACCAAAACTGGATCTGGGCTTCAAGGAGGGGCAAACCATCAAACTAAACATTGCGGTGAGGGTCTTTTCCAGCTAAATCCGCTCCCAACCTTTCTCTTGGGTGGCATAAGAGGAAGCAGTAGCTTCTCCCCAAAAATCCCTGTGCAGGGGGGAGCCCGGAGCAGGGCTGCGTGTAGTGATTTGCAGAGGGGTTGTGTGACAGTCCCCTGTTACAGAACTGGGTCTCTGGCTTCATGGTGGGCATCTGTGAGGGAAAAAGCATCTTTGGTTTGACACCTCTTGCTCCTCCAGCCATGGGACATCTCAGCACAGCAGTTTTTTTCCCCAGAATAAAGCAGCTTGCCTTCATACTCTGGCTGTGGGTTTAAACATACCACCCAAGTTTCCCTCTCTTCTTTCAGAATATGAAGAAAAAAGAAGGACCACCAGGGAACACCAGACCGCGTCCCGTGGGTCTTGGGGGCCTGAGCTTGCTCCCACCACCTCCCGGAGGAAAATCTTCGGTTTGTCCTTCTGGAGAGCGGCCGTCTTCGCTCTCCACGCCCGCCCAGCTCCCGGGCACCCCCATCACAGGTCCGTGGTTACACAGTGACAACTGTAATGCTCTTTAGACTCCATTTTATCCATCAAAGTTGGGAAAACAAAGGGGGGAATCCTGGGGTAAGAGTGGGAGATAACTCCTGGTGTTTGTTTTCTCTCTTTCTGACTTCCCTGGCCACCGACAGACTCCCTCTTATCCTGGCCGCAGCCTGCTGCTGCTCCCTCTGCCGCCGCCACTGATGTCTGGGGAGACTTTGCCAAAGCTTCTGGGTGAGGCTCTGTGGGGTTTGTGTGTGGCAGGGGTGATCCCCACAATGTTAGAACGCTCCCCATCTGGACCAAATCCCACTGGTTTTCCTGAAAACTCCTGCTGAGGTGGGGGCACCACTTCATCCAAACATCCCTTTGGGATTTAAAAGTGACTCTGATGGCGTGTGTCACAAATTCCCTGAATTCAGTGCGGGTCCGTGGGTGCTGCCTTCCTCTTCCTCCCAGCACTGTCAGCACGTCTGCTCTAGTCCGCTCTGTGCAGCGGGGAGAGTTTTGGGGTGACCCCGGAGGACCCATTTGTGGCTGCCTGGCTCCCTCCCCACGTGCCGCAGCCCCTTTCAATGTCTAAACCCTCTTTTTTTTCCCCTTTTTCTCTCTCTTCAGGTCAGCTTCTACCCAGACTCAAGCGAACGCAGGCTGGGTTCAGTTCTGACCTGGGCTCCTCGTCCGCTCTTCCCCACATGGGCGCTGGGATCATTGCAATTCCTTCAGGACCAAAGCAGGGGCTTTGGGACACTCTGCTCCTGCCCTTAAGTCCCCCCCGGCATCAAAATGCTGAAATAAGTGCCAGAGAGCAAATGAACACATGCCTTAAAATGCTCCATGCCAGTGCCCTCTGCGTTGGGGGCCTTTTATTTTCTACCTGGATTGCAGCAAACCTCTGAGGCTTCTCCTTTTCTAGAAAAAGCTGTCAGCTTCATCACCTCTCCTTAATAACGAGAGGGTGAGTGGGTGCTCAGAGCAGGACTCCTCTCACTCGCAGCACTGCCCCAATTAAGGTAATTTTCGCTAAAGATTTATGCGATAGAGCCTCCTCGGAGACCTCTCTGCTTTCTCCTCGCATATTTGGGCTGGATAAATCCTTCCCTCGGTGGAGAGCATCCTCCTGGAGACTTCTCACCTGCAAAATCCAGATGAATGCCTGCCTTAGCAAGATGCTGAGTGTCGACCCAGTTTTTTTCTGAGCACTTAACTTAGATGCGGGAGGTGGGGAGCCGGACCGCTGCGTTTCGATGCTGAAATTCCTAATTTCTTGCTCCGGGAAGATTTTTTTCATCTCTATTTTGAAGACAGATTTTCACTTCTTTCTGTGGACATTTTATTAAGCGATATATGCAATGAAGGACAGAATGGAGTCGGTCTCTTTGACAGAGCTGGGGTTGAGATTCCTCTTTAAACAAATAAATATTTTCTTACCTATTTATATTAAGCCTTTCGGTGTACAAAGTCCTGCTTATTTTTTTTCAGTGCCTTGGATGTTTATTATTCCCATTTTTAACTGGATGACAAGCATTTTGGTTTCAGAGCTTAACTGTGCCTGGCAGCGAGCGTGCAAACCCAGGTGAGAGATGTAATGCTTCAAAGCAATTAATAAAATGGTTTTGATGCCAAATATGAATTTTTTTAGCCCCCCCCCCACCATGTGGGCTCGGCAGGGCTGTGATGAGCTTTTGTGGTTCCCCCTCCTTGCTGGTGTCGAGGAGACGGTGTCGGACAGCGAAGCACAACAGACGCTTGTTGCTTAGCAGTGGTTTTATGGTTGTGAAGGACTCCGGGAGGGGAAGGTAAGGAAAGAAATGAGGGGAAAAATAAGGTATCCCCAAAGTGAGGGGGGAGCCTTGAGGCAGCTCCTGCTGACCGGAGGGACCCGAGACGCCCTAAATCCTCAATCCCATCTGCTCGCCCCGCCTCAGTCTCCCACTTGCTGTTAATCTCCGGCTCTTGGGGAGGAGAAAGGGCGATTCCCTGGGTTGCAGGGTTGGGAAGAGAGTGGCAGGTAGACGCTGACCCTCTCCGGAGGGTGGCTTGGTGTTGGATCCTCCTTTTATTTCAGGGACAAGATGCCTCCAGCCCCTGGCATGGGGGGGATTTTGAGCGTGGGTTGGGGATTTACCGGTGGCTTTCCCTGCTGGGGTGGGGGCAAAAAATCCTTTAATTACCCCAGGGGGTAAAATTTGCTGCCCTGGGTTGGCTGCGGAGGCTCCGGCACAGGGAGGATGCATTCCCCGGAGGGGGTTTAATGCTGCTTTGCCCCGTAGCAACCCTGGCATGCTCCACCCCAAGGCTTTTCCTGCCAGAGCAAACCCCTGGGCTTTAATGAGCTTAACGAGGGCCAGGATTTAACGAAAGGGCTGGCTTACTCTCTCTAAGGAGCTCCTTTTCCCGGTGGGAGCCAGCACCATCCTGCCCGGGGGAGGGACAGCGCAGCAAAGTAAGGACATTTCCACCAATTTTGGGCACGGGGAAGCGCCGGGCACTGGTGGTTTTTTTTATGTTTTCCTTTATTTTGCTCATTCCCCTCTCGCCGAGAGCCTCGTTGGTTGTTTTTATTTACAAAGGTGATATTTTTGGTGGTGGATGCTAAAATGTTGTTGCTCGCGGCCTCACCGGAGACGTTGGGACCCCCAAGGCGGCCAGGAAGAGGAGGGTCCCCGGTCCCGCCGTCACGCAGGGAGGGGAAGGCGAGGATTTCGGGCTAATCCCAACCACGCATCCGCTTTCCGCTTGCAGGCGACGAGCCGAAAGGGAGCCCCAAAAATCCCAGGAAAGGGCTTTGGGGCAAGGAAGCCACAGCAAGGGGGTGCGAAGGGCTCGGTGGACCCCCCTGGGGAGCCCATGAGTGAACCGGAGCCCACGGCAGAGACTGTGGTTGAGGTGGGTGTCCCCCCCACCCCAGCGAGAACTGGTGGCTGCTCTCGCGGGAGCGGCCACGGAGCCAGGG